CCCCCCCCACCTCCGCCTCTTCGCCCTCCCCCTCACCTCCCAAAAGAACTCCCCCTCTCGGACGCCAGCATGTGCGACGCCGACCCGGCGCGGGCCGTACGGCGCCGGCTCGTCCTGGCTGCCGAGGCTGGCCTTGCGGCCGCATGCGATCCCCCGGACGACGACCTGTCCGCCGAGGCCGATGACCACCGGGTGGCCCAGATCACTCGCGCCATTTTGGATGCCCTGCCGGTCGCGGGGCAGCCCCTGGCGGACCTTCCGCTGGCGCAGGCCCTGACGCAGGAGCTCGCCACCGGCGCCGGCGCCGAGGTACGGCCCTCCTGCCGGCGGGTATCTCGCTTGCCACTCGCGCAACATGGCCGGCTGACATCCTGCTCGCCCTCTCTCCGGGGCCCGCCACCCCCGGGCCGGCTGCTGGCCACACCGCCCAGGCGCATCGTCTTGCGGCCGAGGCTGGCGCCTCCATCACCCAGTCGCTTCGGGACCTGACCGGCGCGCGGCAAGCCCTGGACGAGCTCCACCTGCTGGCGGACGCCGAGAAGGCGGCGGCCGTGGCCGCGCGCGACCCGGCCCGCCTCGACCACGACCCCCAGGGGACCGTCCACCACACGGTGGAGGGCCTGCTTCGGCCGACCGCGCGCGCCCTGCTCGACGCCATGGAGGCCGAGCGGGCCATGCGCGTGGCCACCAGGCTGGCCGGCCTGCGCGCCGGGCTCGGGGCCCTGCCCGGGCCGGCCCGTGACGCCGGCCTGGCCCTGCTGAGCCGCCATGCCCTCGGGTCGCCCCGTCAGCTGGCCCTGGCGGCGGTGGCCCGCGCGGCGGACCTCCTCGGCGCCGGGCCCGTGCCGGCCGTCCCCCGGTCGCAGGTCATCCGCCTGGTGGACGGCCACGCGGCCTGTGCCCAGGTGGCCTCCACTTTGGGCCCGAGCGCGCCGCCAACCTTGGCCGCCACGGCCCGGCGCCTGCAGCAGGAGTTCCTCGCCACCGCGTGCATCGTGCTGACCTGGTGCGTGGGCCCCCTCGCGCTTTTGCCCGGGCACGGCCTCGCTCTCTGACCCCCTGCCGGGCTCCTGCCGGCAACTCAGTGCCATCCTCCGGTCGGCGGCGGCCGAATTTGACTGGCCCCGGCCGCCCGGCATGACCGACCATCCGGACCCCGGGCCCCTGGCCCCGGCGGATCAGCTCACCTTCTCCGAGGCATTCCTCATTTTCCTGTCGCTCCAGTACGCCCCCTGCCCCCCCCCCCCCCCTTGCGGCCGATCGGTCCTTGCCTTGTGGCGTGCTTCCCCTCCCCTGACTGCCGGCATTCTGGCGACCTTCCTGCCAGATCCTCCGAGTTTGGCACCATCCTCCCGGCGGCGGATGCCGGACACACGGCCCCGGGGCCCGGGCTCCTCCCCCTGCGAGCCATGGTGGCCCCCCTCGCAGCCCAGTTCACGGGGCACTTCCGACCCGCGGCGGCCGACGCCCGCCTGGCCCTTCTGAGCAAGGTGCCTCATGTGCCCTCGCCCGAGAATGCCTGCCCGCCCCGTGCACGAGCCACAACTCACGCCCCTGTCCCCCCTCCCCCCCCCCCCTCGTCCCCCCTCGCTGTCGCTGTGCCCCGGCACACTTGCCGTAGCCCGACTGGGCGTGTGCGTACATTTTGTCGCTCTACCAGCGGCACTCGGCCCGGGTGGCCGACATGTGCCAGGTCCTGGTGGATGCCTTCCTTCGGGTGCAGGCTCAGGAGCGCGCCGCGCGCCAGGCCAGCGTGGCAGCGCCCTCCGGCCCGGCCAGCCTCGACGTCCTTGTGTGTCCCCCC